ATATATAGCACCTTTCCTTTTAAGTTACAAAGCACTTTGATTTTAAAGTGTCATTGGGTTCGCATAGTGTTGCTGCCATATTGGCACAGTACCAGCCAACCCCACAAAGTACCCATTTACACTCCTGGGTGGGGAGAAGCAACACAGATGTATTGCCTTGCCAAGGACACAGGCAAAGTGCACAGCAAGGGATTGAAACCCCAACCAACGAGGTTGGGAAACCAAACCGTTCCTGCTGTGCCAAACCACTTCCATTGGTATATTTTATTCCATTGCTTTTGAGTGTTAAATGAATATAAATCAATTAAATGGAGAGCTGTCACTTCTTTGTGAATTTTGTGAAAAAAATTATAACATGAAAATGCTTGTTTTTTTGTCTGATGATAGAATGAATCACTCATTGTCACCCTACTGTCAGCAGGTCACTGTCCCGGGTCAGTCATGTAAGTATTTTTAAATTGTGAATTTGAATATTTACTCCAAAATTGTGCCATTGATAGAAATATTTACCTATTCATTGTTTGTGTGTGTTTTTTTTTTTAATTAGTCATTTTGTTAGGTGTACTTTGACATTAACATATTACAGTACTGTGTCAGTTATTATATATTATTTATATTCTGAGTAGTAAATTATATTTTATTGAGGATAATTTAATCAAAAGATATTTAATGGTAAGTAATGTTGGTTTTAAATAAGAACTTTGAAAAAAACTATAGATTTCCCAATTTGCAGATCAAAGATTATAAATACAAGGACATAGTTTAGAATCCTTTTTAACATAATTTTTTTTTTAACTTTGGTAGTCAGTGTAGAGAAACACTCTTTGGACTCCTTCCTGAATCTCAGTGGAAGGAAGAAACAATATTGGTTTTTTTTTTTCTTAGGTTTCTGTTTGAAGGAAGCAAAGGTGTTGTTCTGTACACTGGAGATTTCCGTTTAAGTAAAGGAGATGCTGCCCTCATGAGTCAATTACATTCAGGATCAAGGTATTAGCCTCTTAGACTTTTTACTATTCAAGAATCAGCTACTGTCGTTAATAAATACAGCAATGAATTATAGTACAACATAGAAACAATTTTTAGCAAACACAACCTAGGTATTAACAGGATGAATTAAAAATAATTTGAATTTTATCATTGTAAAACATACTTTTTAACTTTTGTTTTTCACTGCTTCTTTTTAATTCTTCTTTTTCAAATTTTTGTATTTTAATGATTTCACTGATGATTTTGTACATATATATTTTTTAAATTTTAAATTTTATTGATTGGCCTATTCTACTTGAATTTTTTATGTTAATTTAATTTATGTTCTCATTGGCATTGGAGAGCGACTAGACAGTGATTCAGTTCACTTTTTGGCAATCCTGTCTGGCCAAATGAGTGTTGTGTTTTGCTCTCTGTTTTCTTGTGTGTGTCAATTTTAATGTCTTTTTGAACGAAATAAATGAAATGAAATTATATTCCCCATATAACTATTTACATTGCATTGGTATATGCAGCTGTTTAACAAGCAAGTACAAATCTCCCTCTAATTAAAGACCACTTTTGGGACCAGGATTGCCATGGTCTTTAGGTGCTTTGGTCTCTAATTAGAATAATAAAGATAAAAGACATTTGTTAATTTGGGACTACAGAAAAGTGGTCTTTAATTGGAGGGGTCTTTAATTAGAGAGAGGCTTGTATATCAATAAACTATTTGTAAGCATACATTACTTTTTTCACATTTTAATTGATTCTTAAATTTAAAATGAAATAATTGTAAAACTATATACAGTAAATATATCATGTCATTATACGGTGCACCTTCCAATTCAAGACCCCTCTAAATTCCAAGACCTCTCTAATTTGAGATCACTTTTCCAAGGACCCAAATAACAATCTTCAACCTTTTTAACACAAAGCTAGCCCTCTAATTGGAGATCAACCCCGAGACCACCCTAAATTTTCAGGTCCCAACGGTGGTCTCGAATTGAAGGGCAAACTGTATCTGATAAACAGTATACAGCAAAATGAATACAATAAATTTGTTGAATTTGTTATTTACAAAGTACAGACAAGTAGAATTTCGATAGGTTCTATACCATAAAGTTTAGTAGACCTTTTGTCTTTTTTATAATTCATGAAGGTCAATGAACCTTTTTTTTTTCCAGTGTGAAAGACATCAAGTGCATTTATGCAGACACAACATTTTGTACGCCTATGGCCATGCATATACCAAGTAGGGTAAGGTTCATTCATTGACGATTATGAGGGCGATAGAATGACCATGAAATAGTATACAAATAATAAATTGAATGGGAAGAATATTTTCCAAAAACCGAAAGGTCCACTGATCAATCTCAGATAAGATAGCATAATACATACTCCAAGTATCGAAATGCACGCCATGTGCATTTCGATACTTGGAGTATGTATTATACTATATTATGGAAGAATATTTCGTGAGTTGAATGGAACAGTCAATTCCTATATATATATATATATATATATATTAGTAGATGCTTCACTTCATTTGTAATAAGTAACAATGACATGTATTTATACACAACACACTAGATTTCTAGATCGTTGTAATTTATTATAACAAATTCTTATAACTCTCCTTATGTATTGCTCAGCTATAGTATATACAATTAAACAGAAATACCTTAATTTATTAGCCGGGTACCTTACTTAATTAAACAGGTTTCAGTTTGACCACTGCATAGGGTAATGACTTAGTATAGGATAGTACAGTACATTCCTGTGACGATAAACTATTGCTGTGACCCTGCCAGTCTGTCATTAGTGGCACTTTATTTATTAAGATTCAGTACCTAACATCAGTTCCTGACCCGGGATTTATCAATCTCAGCTTAGCAAATGTCTTAAGTCAAAAAAGTTAAGATGTCCCTAATAAATATCTTAAACTGATTTATTACCCAATCTTAGCAAAATCTTGGCTTAAAAATCGTCCTTAGATGGCGCCAACATACAATCGACTTTCTAATTTTAAGCAATTTTTAAGCTAAGCAATATGGATAAATTTGACTTACGCCAAAAAATGGACTTGAGACCATTTCTAGTTTGATAAATTTAACCCCTGTTCCTAAAGTATACTGAGGTTATTGTTTTGTAAAAAGTATAATTTAACTTCTCAAATTTGCTTTAATATACACAATTCTAGAGATTATTTGAAATAAATTAATGCTATAAAATATATATGTTCTGGTTTTATGTTATATCACCCTGCCTGTAGAATAAACTATCTTGTGCTCAGATGAAATTGTCTTCTTATTTTTACAGGAACAGTCACTGAGCTGTTTGGTAAATCTTGTAGACAAGTAAGTGACAAACTACACTTATAAATTTTATTTTTAATTTATTTTAACTATTTTGTGATACCAGCAAAAGGTTTACTTACAATTACTGAAAAATATATCAGGTGAATCTTTATATCAGTGTTTTTCTGCTCATATACCAGTTGTTTATTATAAGTTAGGTTTTTAAAAATGATTGTTGTTTGTATTTTATTATATTTGTGTTTATTTTTAATTTTCTTCATTGAATGTTTTATAACATTTTACACTGAAGTGCTTACAGTACTTTGTACTCCTTCCCTTCCCCTTTAGCACTGACTACAAAAAAATGTTTTTTTAGTGTAACATTTTTAACACTTTGTTTCAGCCATATATCCAAGAGTGATCATCATCAAGTAAAGCTAGTCTGCAAAGCCAAATATGGATATGAATACTTGTTTGTTGAACTCAGCAAAGCATTTCGTATGAAGGTGAAGCTTTGTCCAATATCAAATATTATATGAAAAAAAACTGTGATATGCACATATATAGGTGTAATATGACATAATATCAAGCCCATTTGAGGCATGTTGTGGCGAAATGGCTAAGTTTTAGCAAAAATTGAAATTCAAGTTATTGGTATTTTCAGATACCTGAGTATGTGATCTTTAAAATGAGGGGTCATTCATTCAAATTGTACATTTCAAGCCTAAATTTTTGGAAAGTGAAAGTACAGTACTCTTAGAGACAAGATAAACATGATTTTGAGTAATTGCCTTTCAAAGTTATTTGTGCATAGATTGTTTAATAGAATGAACTGTGAAAAATAATGTTAAATAAACAATTTGTTAACCACTTCCAGAACTAATAATTTGGGAAATGATTAATAAGACATTAAACTGTTGATCTATAGTGAAAAACAAATTTGGATTTTTAGGCAATTTTTTGAGCTCCCATATTTTATAGCTTATTTACTCAATACTGGACTGTGCGACAACTTAACCATTTCGCCACAACAAGCCTCATTTATATAACATCAATTAGTCACATAAAATTTAATATTTTAGACAGAGCTTAATAATTTACTGCCAGTAGTAATAGGTAGCAGTATCTCAATTTTTTCTTAATATACCTCGTGTTTGTTTAATAATTTCTTTTTTTAAACTTTTGACTTTAAATAAGGTGGATTCTTTGTTCCTTACAGATTCATGTGTCTCCGTACATGATGATGCACTACCAGATGGTACCGGAGTTGGCCTGTCACATGACCTCCGATGGGAGAAGCACTCAGATCCATGCATGTAGCTACACTAAATGTAGCGTGGCAAATTCTGTCAATACGATTGCTATTAAGCCAAGTACAATGTGGTTTACAGGCTTTGCGCAACCGGATGAAATACTTGCGTGAGTAATAGTCATGGATAAATCAGAATGGACCTTCCCGCTAAGCTCCCCCCCCCCCCCTTGGTTATTGTTGCTAAGACTCCATGAAAAAAACATGCGCAAACGCATGTGTTTGTGAGACAATACATGTGCTATTGAGGCGTGCATATCGCTGGCCCTGTTCTTAGTCAGTTGTTAAGCTTGACTGACATTCCAGAAAGGAATAAGGCATCGAGTTTGATAAGGGGTGAGTTTGTAGGGGCTAGATTGCATGGGGTTTGCTAAGGGGCGAGTTTACTGGAATCCCTAGAGCATATTGCAGAATAAAGCGCTCACAATAGCCACTGAAATTGTATGCAGACACTAGTACAATAAACCTATGTATAAAAGTATATGTGTGCAAATGACAAGCACTTTTTTTTTTAATCAATTTGTTTATAATTAGTAATACATGGGTATATGATTTTAGAAATATCAGAATGGATGGCAGGAATTCTTTGCCTCACAATTATACCTTTTTATAACATTACATTTAATAATAATTGTAAACAAGACTTAAAATTACAATAATAATACTGTATTTTTAAAATATAGGGGTACATACGGTGTCTAATTCTAATAAAGATTTCTTTTTGTTATTGATATATATTGATGCAGGTAAACGTCCATAATGGTTGGAATGGTAAACAAAATTGAAATTTGAAAAATTAAGAAATACACAAACTCAACAGTCTAATCTATTTGTTAATTTTTTTGTAAATTATTTTCACTTTAGTTAAAACTTACATATATATTTTTATTCTTTACAGAAAAGTCACTGATGATTTCTACAGGTTGTGCTTCTCATTTCATTCATCCTACAGTGAGGTAAAGGTCCCTCGATGTCTCAATGTATTTCTAACCAATAACAATAGTGATACAGACTTGTATAACAATCCCATATTCTTATTATAAAAAACAAATTTTGTTTGAAATCTCCAAAAATAAGATATTGTATATTTATATCCTAAGTATATAAATTTAAAACATTTAACCATCCTACTACACTGTTACATTCACAAATAAAATTTTATTTTTATTTTCTCCTCTGTTTGGATGTTTTTGGCAAAACTATTTGCTAAAAAAAGAAAACAAAATTTTACTTTTGTTTTTTTCTGCCCTCTGATTATCTTTAAAAAAATAATTTTGCGAAACAAAGTATTAAAAAAATTATTATTTTTTTTTTAATCAATAGATTCGTGACTTTATTGGTTACCTCAAACCAAAGGAAGTTAAAGCAAACGTTGTTCCTAAGCGTTGTACAGAACAAGACATCATTAATCGGTAAGGACTTGTATTTAAGGATAATTTGAGTTCAACGTAACTAAAGATATTATGTTTCTTCATCATTTTCCCCAGTGGTAAGGCTTGGTTTCCAAATTTTTAAAAAATCAAGGCCTCAAGTCAGGCCCCTTGTTTTTGTCCTTGGAAAAGGCACTGCATTAACACATTTTCCATCACTCGGGAGTTAAATTGGTCCGGGAAGGTTACTAAGATCCATCTAGCAGGCCTGAAATACTCCCCGGGGAACGAAGATCCTTGTACATTGTACATAGTTTCCTATAAATTCCATGGTCAGGAAACTGAAGCGCCGCTTAATTTAGCTGATACCGGTACAATATACATGTAACTCCCTTAACACTAACATCTTCTGAGAAAAGTGTTAGGCGTTAGCTTTAGGTATAAGCCTTTGGTAAGCATAGTATGTCGTACATTAAAACCTACTCCCATATGTACGTAAACATGCAGTGATGGAATTAAGCTTCAATGCTATATCTGTTGTAGATTATCAGACTTGTTACCTGATAGCAAGACAAACCAATCAAATGAGAGGAATGCTGACCAAGGTTATAAACCATTGGGGTCACTCAAGAAGAAATATGTAAGAAGAAAAAGAAAAATTGGTAAGTAATGATAAAGTAGGTGCATAATAATAACGGTTTTCTCGTTTTTAATATTGTTGTGATGTCTTAATTTTTCATTATGTTATATTATGATGTTTAATGAATTTATTCTCCATTCATTCTTCACACTAAGCATAATAAATCATGTTGTTATTCATTATCTGTAATAATTTTTGAAGGGCGCCCTCATTCTTCACAGTTTTTAAAGAGTTGGTTATGTTTCTTGCACTAAAGGCTTAAAGGGTGCCCTCTTTCTTCGCAGTGAAGTTTTGAAAAGAGTTGATGTTATATACTTGCACTAAGGTTTGAAGGGTCCTCTCATTCATTCTTCACACTAAAATATGGAATAGTAATCTTCGTAATTTTTTTGTACTATGGTTTTAAGGGCATACTCAATCATTCTTTACAAGTAAGTTTTATAAAGAGTTATTGCTACTTACTCATAGGTATGAAGAGCACCCTCTTTGTTCACATTATGGTTTTTTTTTTATTACTTGCACTAAAGTTTGAAGGGTGCTTTCATTATTTTTTTCACACTGAGGTTTGGAATAGTACTCTTCGTAATTTTCTTGTACTACGGTTTGAAGAATGCAGAGCGCACACAGTCAAATCTAGATTGATTTGATCTTGCAGTGGAAATGATTTTAAAAGAATAACCAACAAAAGTCGAAAGACCTTTGGTGATCAATTGGGCAATGCACCTACTCTATTTCAAGAAGTGAAGGTTTTTTTTAAAACTTTCACTTGTTTGAAGGGTGCCCTCTTTCTTCACAGTAAAGTTTTGAAGAGTTGACAACGTTACAACTTGCACTAAGGTTTGAAGGGCGCCCTATTCGTTCACAGTAATGTTTTGAAAAGAGTTGATTATGTTATTACTGTACTTGCAATAAGGTTTGAAGGGTGCCCTCTTTCATCACAGTATAGTTTTGAAAAGTGTTGGTAATGTTACTTGGACTAAGGTTTGGAAAAGTACCCTATTTATGATTTAATTGCACCCTCTTTCTTGAGAGTAAAGTTTTAAAAAGGGATTTTTAAATCATCTCTTTTCATAGCATATGCACTAAGGTTTGAAGGTTGCTATCAACCATTCTTTTCACTAAGGTTTGGAATAGTACCCTTCGTAATATTCTTGTACTATGGTTTGAAGAATGCCCTTGGGTTATTCTTTCTAGTAATGTTAACAGAGCACACACAGATCAGGTTGATCTGATTTTTCTGTGTGAAATGTATTAAGGATTAAAACAATTTTTTTTTATTCAATATTTCACACAGAGGCTCCTCACAAGGCACAGCCTTAGCATCGAGGAGACTCCAAACTTATTAATACAATTTATCTGCAGCGTGGCAGTGTAAAAGTTTAAAAATATCACAATAAGAAAATTAAGTAATATATATAATAATAATAATGATCAACTTCAGAGGGGAAAAAATATATATATACATACCCACACATATATATAAAATACATAACTTAAACTGCAAATCATTAGATTTCGTTAGAAATTGATGAACATAAGTAAATAAAAATGAATTCTGTTAGCCACGTTGATCCAATAAAAAATAAATTACTTAAAAAAATTAAAAGATATAACCCACGCACTGATTACTATCTGTAACCAAGAAGCTCAGTTTGTGTTCCATGTATGTTCAGTGACGGGGATAATAATGTTGAGTGCTATTTGTTGATATGAAGCGCTATAATAAAACATACGTTATCAATTAAATTCATTATTATTACGTTTAATTACGTCTCTGAATGCTAAGGTAAAGGTAGGAGAATAACCCGTAACTCGCAGCGTCATTGTGCTGAATTGCTTATGGGCGTGGTCCGTGACTACCTACTGGCCGTAAAGAGGTGCTTATAGTAGCTAAATGTTCACATCATTCCACAACGACAGGGGCTGAAAAAAAAACCAAAGCATCGGGGTAACCCCTCTACTTTTCCGAAAGATTCAATGGGTTCCTTTAATGTGCACACGAAGCAGATGTGTACACTGGACCTGCATTTTAAATCCTTATCCGAGAAGACTTGGTTCTACTAACCAAACCCTGGGTGAGGAGCGACTGGAACCAGTGCTGATGTTAAGGCTGTAGTTAGCGCCGCCCCTGCCTTAAAACTTGACTCTCCATAGCTTACGTTCCCGAAAAAAAAAATTAATCAATGTGCCATCAAGGTAAGTTTTTTGTGTGATATAATGAACTTTTAACATCAATTGTGGTGTTAAGGCATTTAGCCAGGGATTTCTCAGTCTCAGGCTAGAAAGTATAAATAGTACAAACAATTGAGGTATTATAAAAAATACGCATACTTTTTTTCATATTCCAAGTATGCATAAATTGGTTTTTTACAGCAACATTTTAAAAATTGTCAGATACAGACTTGTTGATTTAAAATTGAAAATTCAGCCTCAAATTATTTTCATTTCATTTATTTTGCTGTACAATATAAAAAGATAAAGCAGACGGAAAAACAATAAAGATACAAAAAATGTTCTCTGATTCTCCACAAGAGCCAACAAGATACCCAAAAAGTAAAATATATTATTGTCAATGTGGCTCTCCATGCGATGTGGGGAATCGGGAAAACAATCATATTATTGATTATAATCAATGTTAAAACCAAATTAACAATGTCTACTTTATTCAACTCTGTGAAATTACACCAAAAACTAACTTTTAAATATGAAGTCAACTTGCAGACCTTGTTATAACAGGATGAACTTTGGTTCAACTCTTTATTTATGATGCGTATCTGTGATACTTTGTGCTGGATTAATTTATTACAGGTTGTACTTCCTCAACTGTTTGTTCAATTTTCTCATATAGTGTTGTATTTTTAGGGTGAAGAATTGAAAATCTAGTTCAAAAAGTTCAAAATATATCTGTTCTTGTGTTGTTGATTTTTATTACTGACATCAGATTTTGAAGTTAATTGATATATTTTCTGATATGGGTAATCTATGCCTGAGTTGGAAAATTCAAAGAAATTTTTAGTTTGTTTTTATCCATCAATTTTATCTGACATTAATCTGACCAATGTTTATAATTTGAACTTAAAAGAACCTCATTGGCTTACTCATCCAATTTCTATTTTATCATGCATCAAATCAACTTGAAGCTTTCCCCTACCTCATATAGACCACAAAAAGTACAATATTCCCTATATATATCGACCTTTAACCCATTTTTGGTTTTCAATTACTGATAATTTATCACTAACTTAAGGGTTCTTGATATGAATAATTAATGAGGTTGCATTGCACCATTTCTTCCGGAGGTGAAAGGGAAACTTGTCACATCTACAGTAGTTAATTAGTAATTATACTGTTGGGATTATAATTAATCTTTGCTAATTATTCACAATCAGATCATCTTGAACTTAAATTTCCTGTTTATTCTTATTATGAATAACAGAAAGAAATATAAGCTTTAGTCTAATAGGTCTATGGATTAAACTTGGGGAAATGAAATTGGCAAACGAAAGAAGGTAGCTTTACCAGTAGAAGTAGGTTTCAAAATAAATCGGCAGTGTTTGTGATTAGTGGGGATGTCACACGGTTGGGTGAATAAAGGAGGTATTTGTCGCATGACACAACGTGAGTGCCACATGGTTGTATCTGTCACAGCAAAGTACGTTTATATGTGACACTTGGCAGTGTATGCCTATGTGTCACTTGGCTCAGTGGTGTTGCCATCCCGGGCCCCCCGCCCCCACATTTGGCAAGTAGTAAGAAAAGAAGAAAAAAAAGGAAATTATTGATCACCCAGAAACACCTCCGGCATCTAGAAAACAACATTTTCCTTGGTCATTCCCCGGACCCCCTAGGGTAGTGTATTCTCTTGATTTTCCCTATTTTGGCCTTCTCTGGATCCGTCCCTGCTGTTGGCAAATGTGGAGGAAAATCAGTGACTTTCAGTGTATGATGATTTGTAACTGGCAGTGTGTACATTTGCATAGAATGTGCCAGATACTACAGTTCAACCTCTCGTACGACCATCTTCAGGTCTTAAGAAAGTAATGAATATATTCCTTACAGTCACCCAATTTGAGATGGTGAAAAAGTTGGACTGTTTACATCTCACACGGCATGTTGGATGAACTTAAATACCATTTTAATTGTTCCAAGTTGGTTCGCCATAGCGCAAAGTACAATTTTAGCCCAATTTTAACAGAAGAAAAAAGCCACACGTGTGTGTAGATGTGTTTTGAATTAGATTATAAACTGCAAAATTAATTTGAATATCACATTCTTTTTATTAATGAAGTGTGTTTAGTGTCTATGAATATTTGAAGGTTAAAATAAGATAATGTATGATGAAGAGACATGGAATATATTGGAAGAGGATGTTGGAAATGGAGCTACCAGGTAGGAGAAAAAGAGGAAGACCTAAGAGGAGGTATATGGACGTGATAAGGGCGGACATGAAGGAACTAGGTGTGAATGAGGAGAATGTGATTAACAGGACGAAGTGGAGACGACTTGTTTGCTGTGGCGACCCCTGAAGGGAGAAGCCGAAAGAAGAAGAAGAAAACAAGATAATAAGCAGAAACATGCACAGTGGTTTCTTGTGTTGATTCTCAATTGATTTGCCATCAAGACCTCAAACAGCCAAAAAAGAAAAACATACCAGTTGAGATGTGCAAGAATTGCTACAATCTGCACATGCACATTGGTGACCAAATTTCTTTTTAATGGATTGAAATATAATTTTTTGGCAATATAAAGACAAGGGGGAAAATATATAGTTTTGTTGTCAACCAATAAAATCATCATTGTTTGTATTATTGATTTTTTTTAAATTACAGTATTAAATTTAAAATTAATTACTACATCTGCACTATAAACAGCCAAGATGTCAAAATATGCAGTTTCTGATGACCGAAAAATATATCCATTCCCTAAGCCTCATTCATAATGAGATTTTTAGTTTATGTAGATTGTCTTGTCTGTACGTCTTGTCTTGTGAAAAGGATGGCAGATAGTGATTAAGTTTATTAT